TCCCTACAGAGGTAGGCTCCTTTGGGGGTTGGGGAGAGAAAGGAGAGAAAGTCACTCACTTTCTTGTTTCTCAGGTCTCCATTCGTTTATTAACCTTAACCGGTTGAAATCATATTTCTGCCCCCTCATTCCACCAATACTGCTTTCACTGAGGCCACAGATGGCTTTCTAAACCTCAAGTTCAAAGGATTTTTTTTTTCAGTTATTACCTTATCTGACCCCTCTGCAGCAGCTGCTGTTGTCACCCCATTATCTATCTCCCTGAAGTATTCTCAAACCTTAACATAATTCTCCAGTGCCCTTCCCAAATGCTGGTAACCACCACAGTTGTCCTTGACCTTCTTATTCCCCCCAACGCTTTGATCATCAGCTATTAGTGATTCCTAAATCCCTTCTCCAGTCTAGAACGCTCTCCAGGGTTCCAGACTCATTTATCCAGCTGCCTACAGACACGGCGATCCAAGTTTCCCAAAGCTCCCTGTATGTAATGTGTCTATTACTGAATTTACTGTTTTTCCCCTTCAGTCCATTCCTCCTACTGCACTCCTTTTCTTAATGGAAACACTAATCCTCCAAATTTAAAAACTGTTCCTCTCCCACCTCATTCTCACCAATGAAACTACCACTAAGTCCTCTTGATTCAGCCTCCTATGTAATTCTCACATTCATCCCCTCCTCTCTACCTCTACAGTAACGGCACAGTTAAGGCCCTCAACATCTCTCCTATGGACCATCACAAAGATGTAGTTAATCCCTATTCTTCCAGTTCTCTTCTTCCCCAATCCATCCTCTGCCTTGTCCAGTTTTTTATTTTTGTTTTTATTTTTTGAGACACGGTCTCACTCTTCACCCAGGCTGGAGTGCAGTGATATGATCTCAGCTCACTGCTTCAAGTGATACTCCCAACTTCAAGTGATGCTCGTGCCTCAGCTTCCCAAGTAGCTGGGACTACAGGTGCATGCCACCACACCCAGCTAATTTTTGTATTTTTTGGTAGACACTGGGTTTCACCATGTTGGCCAGGCTGGTCTCGAACTCCTGACTTCAGGTGATCGGCCCACCTTAGCCTCCCAAAGTGCTGGTATTACAAGCATGAGACACCACACTCGGCCAGCTATTTTTTTTTTTTTTTGAAACACAAATTGGTTCATGTTAAGCACCTTCCAAGACTCCCCATCCTCTGCTGGAGCACTTTAGCATGGTGACTAAGAACACAGGTACTGGAGTTGGAAAAAGTTGGATGCAAATTCTAGATTTTTTTCCACTTACTGTGCGGCCATGACACTACTTATCCTCTCTAAGACTTAAGAGTTTTCATGCATAAAATGAGGATGATTTATGCCTACCCCACAGTGTTTTTAAGAGAATTATAAAATGACGTAACACATTTATTCCAATAACCACAGAAATTAAATACCTAATAACAATCATTTTAAGATAAAGTTCCAAGTCAAGCATGGTGGCTCATGCCTATAATCCCAACACTGGGAGGCTGAGGTGGGAGGGTAGCTTGAGCCTAGGAGTTCAAGGCTGCAGTGAACCAGAATCATGCCATTGCACTCCAACCTGGGTGACAGAGTGACACCCTGTCTTTTTCCTTTTTTTTTTTTTAAAGATAAAGTCCAAATTACTTACCATGGTCCTTTATGATCTGGTCACTGCCTACCTGTTCAGTTTCATTTCCCATTAATCCTTCCTCACATTCTACAGAGTCATACTGTTTCACATATTTTTGCTTCTGAATACACAAATAATTACCTTTGCCTAAAAAGCCTAGTCTCCAGTGCTTTGTCCAGTAAGTGAACTCTTTAAGACTCTGGCCTCAGTTTTTGTCCTATGAACCTCTATGGCTTTGTATTACATCTATTTTCCTGTCTACCTCCTACCCTAAATAGTGCTTCTTGAAAGCAGAGATAAATGGAGAAAACACAAAAAAACTAAGAACAGCCGTGAGAATTCATCTAAGACACGGAATCAGATTAAGGTTGAACAAATTTATAGAAAGGACCAAAGTCATCATTCCAAACTAATTGAATGTAACTCATGGTTTATACATTTTATGCTTTATGCTTTTATTCTTTTTTTAAAAATGCAGAGGAAGCATCAATGTGTTAAGTGTTTAACGTGAGCAGGTTAGGAATTTAGCACTTGGACATTGTTTTTGGTGTGTGGAGTAGCTGTGCAGGAACAGGTATTCAAAGCAGGTCTTGAAAAATGTTTCAGTCCAAGGCAGAAAAGGTCTGACAGGGAATCAGAACCTCTTTCTGGTAGGCAAGTTGGGCTACATGAACCTTCAGTCAAAACTTCAATGCCGCAGAATTGAATTGAGTTATTATTTTAAAGGCACATTGTTCCCTAGAGGGAAATTTTGACAACTCGAATTCAAATAAACGAATTTATTAAGGGAGAGACATCTACAGAAGATTCCACAAGAACTACCAAATGAGCAATCAGAAAAGTCAGAATACTAAGCATCTGAAAGTAGTCTCTATTATAAGGTGACTGATGACTAAATACTTTTTAAAAAACATATTTGCAAATACTAAGGCAATGAGGGCTCTGAGACTAGAAAAAGTGTGGCCTGCAAGGTTAACAGTCTTAAAGTACTACAAAACACGACGCAGGTAAATTTCCTTCCACGAAGTGATTACAAACAACTATTTTATGTGTGTCAATAAACCAAGTCATATTTCTTTCTTAAATCCAGGATGCCAGGTTTATCACATACAAAGTACACACTTAAAAAAATTATTGCCCCCTAACAATTATTAGAAAAAGATGTTTCAGAAGGGGGTGGGGAATCTATTCTCAATTTCTTACAAATTCCATCAAAAGGGCAGAAATCTGGACTTCGTTAACAACGCTCAAGTTTTGGACACTGCAGTGATGCCTGAGACACGAGTTCAAGCAAGGTCGACCTCGTTTTGCTCTTCCCGGCGGAGTCAAGGAAAGTGACAAATGTCTTAAGGGAGTCGACCCCGGGGGAGCTGCCAGGGGATGCTGTCAATCTACGAAACTGGAGAGGCTCAGAAAACCGATCAGCGCTGGGACAGAGAGTGGTAGCAGCGGCGAGGGGTGGCTGCGCGAGGATGTTAGAGACGGGCGCGGCGGCGAGGCTGTCACAGGGCGTCCTCCCCCCACCCGGCCTCGGGCCCCAGTCACTCACATGCGGGGCCCGCGCCCCCTCGGGCTCCTCCCGCCTCGGGGACAGCCGCCGCCGGGCGAGGAGGATGGGCAACTTCCTGCTTCCGGGAGTGCGACCCGGAAGCAACCCGCACGCCATGGGCAAGGCCTTGCGCCCCTCAAGAGTAGTTCCTCCTCTGGACTAGCGCTTCCGCCCAAAGCACAACAAGCTGTGTTGTGGAGAGCGCGGGAGCTCTCGCGATATCTGAAGACTGCAGGTTCTTGCTCCCCCTGGCGTCCTTCTGCCGCTCCGGCTCTTTCGCCTCCGTCCTAAATCCTCGTCTCCCTTATTTACCTGGACTGACTGACACAGACTTCATAGCTGAACTGATTAGTTGAACAAGCATTTACTGAGTCCCTAATACGTGCCAGGCAGCGTGTTGGGCATGAAGGATGGGAGTAAAAGGGATACGTAAATGAAGAGCAGTCCCTTCCCTCAGAAGCCCCTACTCTTAGAGTAAAAGACAATCAAACAAATCCCTCCAGTTTACTGTCAGCCCACTCATGACTGAGAGCTTACTGTGTCGATAAAAACTGCAGCCGAATTAAGTTTAAAGGAGTTTAACTGAGCAATGAATGATTCGCGAATCCGGCAACCCCCAGAATCGCAGCCGATTCACAGACTCTAGGGGTGCCTGGTGGGCAGAACAGATTTACAGACAAAAAAGGCAAAGTTAGGTACAGGAGTCGGAAGTGAGGTTCAGAGACAGTGATATGGGTCACAGCTCGGTGTTCGCCTTACTTGAAGCAGTCTGAGCATTCAGCAGGTTATGAGTGGTTGAAGTACAGCCACTGGGACTGGCCACCACTTAGTTACTGTTACTGGTGTAGACTATTCAGTTAGGTTTTCAATTTTGTCTATGAAGCTAGGTTACAGCCCATCCACAAGGAATCAAATATAGAAGGGCAGAGTCCTTCTCAGGCCATATTTAGTTTGCCTTAACAATTTCCCACTTCTGGTCATTTTCTCCATTTTGAGAGATTGACGAAAACCTTAGTCAGATGTTACTATTACTGTTGCAAATGTATCTCTGTGGTTTTAAAACCCACTGGGAAACAGTAGAACAGTGGGTTTTGTAAGGAGAGAATAAGGACCGAGTAGAGGGTACCTTCTTACGCTGAAACATCCTGTTTATGGGAGAAAAACAAAACTTGGTCTGTCCTAGCAGGTATGTGTTTTTTTAAAGCCTTAGCTTGATTATGTTACATTTAGCATGAGTGACTCCATTTTAGTTTGGTTTGTTGGGGCCCAGTGCATGAGCTCAGTCGTGATTTTGGGAAAAGCTGTTCACATCAAGGATGCCATCTTGTTCTGGGGAGAAACCTTTTGGTTAGTTTTACCTTAAGGGTTCCAGTGGGTGTACAGTTCCAGGAGTGTGGAGGGACCCTTCTCAGTTGTGAGATTATGAACCCAAGGTTTAAGACTCCAAAGTTTTGCTATAGCGTGGCTAGCAAGGACAGTCTTTCTTTTCTCTGATGTTCTCAGAAGATCCAATCTTTAGGTTCTAGATTGTGAAGGGATTGTCCTCTGTGAATCTAAAAAGCTTTCTCTGCCTGGTGAAAATATACTATAATCTACTGTTATAACATCAGCCCTGTTTCACAGGAAACCTTTTATACAACCAGCAAACATGCACTGAAAATGACAATAAAATGAAATCCCTTTATAAATGTTTAAATGGCCCATCAGGTAGCCAAATGCATCTGAAGCTTCCACTGTCTTTCCAGGAATATGAAAACAAACATTGGATTTTTTTTAAACCAAAAAACATTTTTTCACTTAAAAAAGTAATTAGAACACATAAAACAAGGCAACATTTATTCTTTTTTCTCATCTTCTGGTATGGGATCTGTTAGTGGCTCCTCCACCGTCGCACTGTTGCTCTCCAAGCCAGCGTTAAATATGGAACGTTTCACGAATTTGCGTGTCATCCTTGCTCAGGCGCGTCGTTCCAACTGTAGTATATGTGCTGCTGAAGCGAGCACCAAACATTGGATTTAAACTATTTCTGCGATTTCTTAGTTATCACATCAATATATTCAATTTGGATGATTTTATCTTTTCCAGAACCTTTAATAACAAAAGTTTTAAGGACTCAAGAAGGACAAGGTGGCTGTCCATGCTTAACGTTGGACTTATGTCCTCTTGAACACCAATTGTTTCTCCAATTTAGGTGCACAGCACTGATAACTAAAGGGTTATCGTAGGTAATTTGGCTTAGACCATTCAAATTGTATATTTAAACAATTTTAATATTGGCTGATTTAGCATGATAATCTAGAGCTTGATTTTTTGTCAACTACCAAAGGTTTAAAACATTGGATATTACAACATAGAATCTTAGGTTACCATAAGTCATTCACGTAGCCGAAATGATAACTTAACAATTTTTTTTTTTTTTTTTTTTTTTTTGAGACGGAGTTTCGCTCTTGTTACCCAGGCTGGAGTGCAATGGCGCGATCTCGGCTCACCACAACCTCCGCCTCCTGGGTTCAGGCAATTCTCCTGCCTCAGTCTCCTGAGTAGCTGGGATTACAGGCACGCGCCACCATGCCCAGCTAATTTTTTTTGTATTTTTAGTAGAGACGGGGTTTCACCATGTTGACCAGGATGGTCTCGATCTCTTGACCTCGTGATCCACCCGCCTCGGCCTCCCAAAGTGCTGGGATTACAGGCTTGAGCCACCGCGCCCGGCCAACTTAACAATTTTTAAAGAAAAAAAACATTATTGTGATAGGGAGGAGACTCAGCTTTCTAAGCAAGACACATTGAAGATAGCGTGAGGCCAGCTGACTGTCTCCTTTCTTTCCTCCCCCACCATTTTTTTTTGTAGTTTACTTAAAAGGTAAACAAAAACTTTTTGTTATCTTTTAATATTAAATAAAAATCCTTTTTAAAAGAGAAAATCAAATTTTATGTTTCCATTAGTGTCTTTTTAATGTTAAAGCTAGTTTTTAATAACATTTTATAAACCTATTAAGTTTTAATTCGTTTGACCATAAGGTAAGATTTTTATAAATCTTTTATAACCCTTCACTATTATTTTTCTCAGAGCAGAGCAATCTTCTAAGAAAACTCTGTTGTGGCCAGGCGCGGTGGCTCACGCCTGTAATCCCAGCACTTTTGGGAGGCCGAGGCGGGTGGATCACGAGGTCAAGAGATCGAGACCGTCCTGGTCAACATGGTGAAACCCCGTCTCTACTAAAAATACAAAAAGTTAGCTGGGCGTGGTGGCACGTGCCTGTAATCCCAGCTACTCAGGAGGCTGAGGCAGGAGAATTGCTTGAACCCAGAAGGCGTCTCAAAAAAAAAAAAAAAAAGAAAACTCTGTTGTGCTTTTATTCCAATGTCTAAAATTTACAAGAAAAAAGTGAATAATGCCATTTTAACTTTAGCCAATATGTTCACACATAGAATCTCTTATAACTAATTTTTATAAACCTTCCACAACTTGTTCAAACCTTTACTTTTATTTAATATCAAACAATCCTTTAACCCTCTAACCTAGGCAAAAATTTACATTCCTGTATTTTCTTATAATCTCTTACAAAAAAATACATTTCATTCTCCTTACACACCTTGCCTGTAAACTTATTTTTTCAGTAGTCTTGATTACATATTACAAAGTTAACTCTTAGCAACTTTTTACTTTTGGTGAAAACCTTTGTAAGTAAGGGATTTTAATTATATACTATGTGTGGAGCCCAGGACCCAGAGAGAAATACAGATAAGGTGTGACTCTTTCCAACATCTAACTCTAGGTATCCCAGGCCTTACCTAGCTGTAAATTAGCAGGCAGGCTGTACATTTAAGAGTCATAGTGGCATTTTATGAAGCATTTAGGAGGCCTAATCACCTTTAACTTGTACAACATTTCTGGCATAAATTCCTTTTCATAAATTATTTCACAACTTACACAGACTATGTCTGACATGTTTAGACTTTCTTTCCCTAAACATCCCTCTTTTTAAATAACCAGTCATTTTACTTTAGGACAAGAGTTTACCATACAACATCCTTTCGGATATAAAATCTATTTTCTTTATAACCTTTGCATAGCTAGGGGACATGGATAATTCCATATATCCCCAGGCCTTACTTAGAATGTAATGTCTCCAAAATAAATTGAACAATTTTCAAAAGTCAATGCAGTTTATGACCTTAAAGCATATAGCAAACCTAATATCTGCCCTATATAATTTAGACAAAATGTCTTTATCAATAATCTTTAAAGCTGCTTTTATTTCCCAAAGATTACTAAAGTTACATGAACGAAAAGGTATTACAGTTTTGATTTTGCTTTCAAAATATTTGATTTAGGTGCTTAGTTTTGTTTAAGCCAATAAATTAGAGCTTTTTAATATAAACATTACACACAACACTTATATAATTACACAGACAAACAGAAGAAGATTACTATAGTAGTTGTAAGAGTTTTCATTTGCTGGGTTTTAAGTTTCTCAATTGGTTACTGGCTCTATGATGGAGTCCTTGGACAAACAGGGCCAGGAAAAGGGTTTCTGGTGCCTCCTCTTTTTCCCCTGGGTTCCAGGCTGTTAGAGTATGAATATCTACCTTTAATTAACCTGACTTTTAACCACAGCACTCTTTAATAAAGTCCTTTTAAAATTTCTTATTACCGATTTTGCCTGGGCCAAATGGCTGGTGTTTCTGGCTTTTGAACTTTATCAAAAGTAACCTCCCAAGTGCTCAAGGAAGGAAAATTTAAGAGAGTCTGTGGAGGAGAAGCGACTACATAAGGTTTTGCAAAATTAAACCAGAAAGGACTTACTTGCTAATCAGGGAATGGGACTGGGACCACCAATGTGAAAAGTCAGTGAGCCACAGCACAGGGCAGTCTCTACCGCCCTTGCCAGAAGGAATCTAGAGTAGTTACCTTTGAGCTTGCAGAGGCTTTTAACTACTCAAGATAGATAATTTTTAGAGCTAACTATGACATAAACTCTAAAAGTCCTGTTCACTGGAAGGTGGAGACCAAGAGAAAGTACTGCCACATGATTACAACGTCAAGCTCCCAAGGACATAAAACAAGATGGAGACCCCATTCACTTTTTTTGTTTGTTTCACAGACCTGCAGGAAGGTTTGTTATTGACCAGCTTGCTGGGCTGTCTTGAGCAGCAACCTTACGGGGTCCTAAGCCCATGTTTTATCCTAAGATGCCCCTCAACTCAGAAAAACGAATTCGTAGCACAAATACATCAGTTTAAGACTAGCCTCAGAATTTCTTTTTTTATTAATCAAAACTTTACAGAAGAGATAAATAAACAGTGATTTTTACCATTCATTCAACCATTTGCACAGAGAGAGAGAAGCCAAAAATCTGACTGGTAAGAAATTCTTATCCTTTTGTCAGCATGCCAGGCTTCCAGGTTCCCTTTTCCTGAGCGGCTCCAGTGACCCACTTTGCCGCACCATCGCACTGGGGGCAAAGCTGCATCATAAAGGAATTTTTTTTTTTTTTGTCCTGGCCAGAGCAAAATATGTGAGGTAAAACATAGACGTTAGCCACTCTGTTTAGCACCCAATATCAGATTGGCAAGGCTTAAATGTGTCCTCAGATGGGCCCCATCATCTTTAATCCAACCTCTGATTAGGAGTTTCAACATGTGGTTTCTGGGCAAGATGGTTGCCCTAAGTAACAGAAAAGATAAAAAAGGGAAAGGAGAGAGAGAAAAGCCTTGCCTGTGACAGGATGGGGAAGGCGAAGTGCTCAGGGAGGCCAGAGAAAGACCCGGCCATTGCAGCCACGCTGAAACATTCAGGCACCTGAAGCTGCTGTCATGAATGGGATTTTTTCCAGCAGTCGCATCAGCTCTCAAGTGTCCCCTCTTGGGGGAGGAAAAAGCTCCCCATGTCCCACAGTCCTGTATATACCTAATCCTGTCACCCATAGTCATCAGCAAGGCTGCAAGTCAGATTATTCCAAAGAGAATAGTAGCAGTAGACACCCTGTACTTCAATGCACTTTTGTTCATTTGGGACATTCCACTGTAAGTTATCTTTAGTAAGATTTTGCCATTTCTGTAAGACTTCGCTGCCTCCCAGGCCTAATGTATAAGCCAGAAGCAACTCAGTTTTCCTATTTTATTTAAGGATCCTATTTGCACCTAAAATATTGGCTTTACTCTCAGGTTCTCTTGATTCACTTAGCCAGTGATTTCTCTCTTACCTAAGTGCACAAGAAAAGTGAAACAAAAAAGTAGAACACAAATATCCCTGTGAAATTTCAAAAGCCAAATTTTACAACCCCTGCAATATTATTGCTTACCACCAGTTCATTTCTGACCCAGTCAGATGTAAGAAGTCTCTAACTGGATCTAAACAAGTTAGTTCCCAGATCAAATCCTTTCCTGGACCCATCAAGTTTCTGTCATGACTCCAAACCCACTTTGGATCAGAAATTGGCTTAAAGAAACTCAGAGAGCTCAAAACACAAATCCATGGAGCTCCGAAATCCAAGACGACACTTACCCATGCTCCCCAGCTGCTCTGAGAGATCAATGGACACGAGTGGGTCCTGCAGGTACCTTGTGTGTTCATTCAGCGCTGCTGGGGGTGAGTGATCCTGATCCTGGCATCATCTGATAAACGAAAAATTTTGGCCAAATTAAGTCTAAACGAGTTTAATTGAGCAATGAACAATTCGCGGGTTTGGCAGCCCCCAGAATTGCAGCAGATTCACAGAGACTCCAGGGGTGACTTGCAGTCAGAAAACATTTATAGGCAAAAAAAAGTGAAGTGATGTACAGCAATCAGTGAAATTGGTTACATCTCAGTGTTTACCTTATTTGAACCCGGTTTGAACATTCAGCAGTCTATGAGTTGTTAAAGTATGGCTGCTGGGATTGGCCAACATTCAGCTATTGTTACAGGTATATACTATTAAGTTAGATTTTCAAATTTTTCTATTAAGCTAGGTTACAGTTCATCCACAAGGACTCAAATACAGAAGTACGGAACCCTTCTCAGGCCATATTTAGTTTGCTTTAACACTGACAGATTTTACTAAGCACTTTTGTTTCATGGAACTGCTTCATCAACCTTATGACATAAATAGCCCCATAACATCCTCATACAAACCAGACTGAAGATTATGAAGAGGTGAGCCTGCTCAAGACTACACAGATAAGGAGTGGTGGGGTCAGCATTTAAACCCAGACTCCTTATCCTGCCCTGTGTATAGTGCCAAAGCCCTTAACTGCTTTCCACAAGAAATCTGCAAACAAAATACTACTGGGTTCAGACTAATTCTATAGCTACAGAGGTGGTGTGACAGTGATGTAAACGTATGAAACCAAGGAAACAGAATAGAGAGACCAAAACCAGAAAACAAGTATATGGACACTTGATTTATGATGAAGAGGTGCAACAGAGGAGTGAGGAAAGGGTAATGCTTTCAATCAATGGTGCTGGGTCAGTTGGATATCCATATAGAAAAAAATGGAACTTGAGTCCTACCTCATGCCACACACCAAAATAAATTCTAGGTGCACTGCAGATTTATATGATTAAAAACAAAACAATTAATAGAGCTACAATATTGAGATGTCCAATAATGTCTGTCCAACATTGAGATGTTCTGAAGGACAGAACATGCATATGTTGGACTACATTAAAATTAGAACGTGTCCAGTATTATTCTGTCCAGGATATATAAGGAACTTTACAAATAAGAAAACATAGCCAAATAGAAAAAATAGGTAGAAGATTTGAACACAAAAATATATCAAAAAGAGGATATCTAAATGACACACATATGGAAAAAGCATTCAACTTCATTAATCATTAGCTGTTAGTGAAATTACTACTGAGATATTGTTATAAAGGCTTCAGAATTCCTTAAATGAAAAAGACTGGCAATACTAAGAGTTAGCTTGGAAGCAGAGCAACAGCGATTCTCACAGGCTGCAGGTGCATACGTAAATTGCTACAACCACTTTGGAAAAACAGTTTGGTGTTAACTCCTAAATTATACATGTTACCTATGACATGGCAGTTCTGCTTCTAGGTACATACTCGCAAAAATTCATGCACAAGTGCACTAAGATACATATATAAATATTCACAGCAGCACCATTATACATTGTGGTACGTTGGTGCAACAGAATACTACACAGCAAGGAAAAATGAAAAATGTCCACTACATACAACATGAATACATCTCACAAACATATTGTTAAGGAAAGGAAGCCAGGCACAGAAAAATACATACTTTATAACTCCATTTATATAAAATTCAAAAGCAGGAGGCCGGGCGCGGTGGCTCACACCTGTAATCCCAGCACTTTGGGAGGCCGAGACGGGTGGATCACGAGGTCAAGAGATCGAGACCATCCTGGTCAACATGGTGAAACCCCGTCTCTACTAAAAAAATACAAAAATTAGCTGGGCATGGTGGTGCGTGCCTGTAATCCCAGCTACTCGGGAGGCAGAGGCAGAAGAATTGCTTGAACCCAGGAGGCGGAGGTTGCGGTGAGCCGAGATCGCGCCATTGCACTCCAGCCTGGGTAACAAGAGCGAAACTCCGTCTCAAAAATAAAAATAAATAAATAAATAAAAATGCAAAAGCAGGGAAAACCAGTCTATGATATTCGAATGCAGAAAGTGGTTTATCCTTGGGAAGGACAGAATGGATAATGATTAGTTGGAGACATTTTATTTCTTTATTTGATTTGAGCCCTCATTGCTTCTGGCTAACTCCAATTTATTGTCTGGATCTCCCCAGGCTATCACTCCAGGAAAAATTTCTGACTATTCAAACCTACTCTGGAGTAACCAGAGCTCAGAGTTCAGGGAATACTGTGTGCTGCTGCTGCTGCTGCTTCTTTTTTTTTTTTTTTTTTCTTTTGAGACAGAGTTTAGCTCTTGTCCAGGGTGGAGTGTGCAATGGTGATCTCTGCTCACTGCAACCTCTGCCTCCCAGGTTGAAGCAATTCTCCTGCCTCAGCCTCCCAAGTAGCTGGGATGACAGGCGTGCACCACCACGTCCAGCTAATTTTGTATTTTTAATAGAGATGGGGTTTCACCATGTTGGTCAGGATGGTCTTGAACTCCTGACCTCAGGTGATCCTCCGCCTGCCTCAGTCTCCCAAAGTGCTGGGATTACAGGCGTGAGCCACTGTGCCCAACCTATTGTGTGCTTCTTATCACAGTCCTCGTTCTACGATCCTATAGCTATGTATTTAGCTGTCCATCTGTCCTAGAATACGAGTTTCTTTAGGGCAGGGCACTGTGTGTGTGAGATTCATTTCTGTCTCCTCAGTGCCAAGTGACTGATCGGAGCTGCAGTAGAAGATTTAGGAAGAAAGTGACCTTGGGAGTGGCTTTTCAATATTCAGACATTGGAGTTGGGGAGTGGCACATGCCTCCCAAGATATACAGTAAGGAACTTCACAAAGTCCAGAGAAAGGCAACTCAAATAACGAAAGACTAAACAGACCAAGGATTAAGGCTTTTCCTTCTAGCTTAAGGGCCACAAGATGGACATGAACTTGAGACTCCAGGAGGTATAAAAAGTATACTTTACCTTAGCATTTGTCAGTTTAAAACGTAGTGTTCCGTTCATTATTCATTAAACAAAAGCTGATTACTAGCTCAGCACAAAGATGAAGGAGGCCCAGCTTCTCTCTCAAGGAGCTGTCTAGTTTATCTTTACAACCTCGTACATCATTATTCCTTGTTGACCATTAGGGACACTTGAACTCTCCTTAAGAGCACAAGTTCACCAGTTGTGGTACTTTAAGCAAGTCACTTAATCTATAAGGCTCAACTTCCTCAAAGTAAAATGGGAATGGTAATATCTAGCTTGTTGTTTTTAAGATTAAGCATGAACATACGCAATAAAGTGCTTAGCTTTCTGCCTGGCACATGGTAAACATTCAACCATCATTAAGTGGTGTGCAAAGCATTTACAGCATGTTTGGTTACTCTATTTCATTCTTGTCCTCCCTCCAAACCTCAGAGCTCCTCTAATTTGCTTCTCTTCCTTGGGCCCTGCCCGAACCCTCTTAACAACCTTCAGGTACCATCTCTCCCAGGCAATCACGTTAAGCCCTGTTCTTGCTCTGATCCCTTTGACCTGCTTTCTCCTGTCTCCCCTTCTCCTTATCTCCCATTTTCTTCCTCCCCCTGCCCTTTCTTTTCTCCTCAGACTCCTTGTCTTCAGATTCTGCAGGCTCAGATTTGCTTTGTGACTATGGAAAAGCCAGTATTTAACTGCCGAGTCTCAGTTTTCATATCTTTAAAACGGGAATAGTACTATCTACTTACAGAATCGTTTTGTGGAGATAAGAAAGTGCAAGCACTATGTACATCGTACAGCGCCTTACAAAAATTTTTTTTTTTTTTTTTTTTTTTTTTTTTTTTTTTTGACGGAGTTTCGCTCTTGTTACCCAGGCTGGAGTGCAATGGCGCGATCTCGGCTCACTGCAACCTCCGCCTCCTGGGTTCAGGCAATTCTCCTGCCTCAGCCTCCTGAGTAGCTGGGATTACAGGCACGTGCCACCATGCCCAGCTAATTTTTTGCATTTTGAGTAGAGACGGGGTTTCACCACGTTGACCAGGATGGTCTACGGTCTCTTGACCTCGTGATCCACCCGCCTCGGCCTCCCAAAGTGCTGGGATTACAGGCGTGAGCCACCGCGCCCGGCCTACAAAAATTCTTTACTGGCATCTCTCAACTATGCCCTTACACTCTCTTCCTCCCCTTTCCGTCCCCCGACCCCGCCCAATTGTGAGACTACGAAATTCTTCGAATTCAATGTTAGGGCAGAACTCCAACCGGAGTGCAGCTTTTCTGATTGTTCCCGCCTTCCATGCCTAAACGAACCAATCATGAAGCCCAGAGAGTGGCGCGGTATCGCCACTTGGAGACCACTGCGAATGAAGTTTGCATTTTTCCTCTGTTCCTGGCGTCCAGCTTCTTCGCGTCTCGCACCCCAGCTTCCCGGCATTTGAAGACAGTGCCATCCTCTTCCTTGTCCTGGCCACCCAAATCCTGGTATCGAAAGGGTTGGACGGCGGGGACCGGAAGTGTGCAGCAGCGGCGGGTCCCCAGCTGATCGACGCCGGAAGTAGCAATTGCTAGAGGAGCCTTCCGCCGGCTTCACTATGGCGGCAATTCCCCCAGACTCCTGGCAGCCACCCAACGTTTACTTGGAGACCAGGTGAGGGGGTTCGGGCCTCTGGGGCTGGAAGAGGAGACGCGGAGCCTGGGCTTCGCCGTGGGTCTCCGTTCCTGGCGCGTTCCTCCGGGTGGCCGGCCTCCACGTGGAAAGGGGCGTGGAGCAGCGGCCGAGACGGCCCCCTGAGGACTGAGAGGGGACCGCCATCGCTCGCGTCCAAGCTCTGCTCCGACTCGTGCTGAGGCCTAGCGACAGCTGCCTGATTGTCCTCCTTCCTCCAGACCGCTCACTCATTCATTCATTCAACAAGCGTGTAATGAGTCCACAAGCCAGGCACATAAGATGTGAGTTCTGAGGATACAGAGGTAGATAAAACACACACAGCCCTGCCTTTAGGAGCTTATGGTATAATGAAAGAGACAGATATGTAAACATTGCGTGATAAGTAGTACAGTTGTAGAAACAAATTACAGGAAAAAACAGGAAGAAGTACGTTTTCCCCACTATCAAAGAGCGATGTGGTAACCAACCTGCTAGTGCCATGCCCTTGGTGTATGTCATCTCATTTAGTTTAAGACTAGCAACTGAAATCATGAAGGTATTATTTCACTTTCTCCCTTTTAATATTAGCAGGAGGAAACGCCAGAATTTGCAGATTAAAGCCTTGACCAAAGCCACACAGCTAGTAAGTGGAAGAACCTTGTTTGGAGCCTGGTGTGCCTGTCTCACTTTGTTAGGTTCTTTAGCTGTATTCACTCTGTTGCCTCTTTGGAAAAAACTCAGAGTGATCTCTACAAAGTAGGACAAAGAAAGGATCCTGCCCCAAAACCTTTAATAACATCTTGCTTCTGTAACAGTGTAAAGTAAAAACTGATTAATCTGACATTCAAGGTGATTTTTTTCATCTGGCCCTTGTCTGCCTGCTGTTACCCCCACAACAGCCAGAGACCAGTCTGGGACTGTCTTTCTGTTCTTGCCCATTGCTGCTTTCAAGCAAAGCAGAGTTCTGTCAGTTCTCTCTATATTTGCTCATGCTGTTCATGCCCTCTGGCCATCTTTCCCACCTTCTTATATGGCAAAATTCTGCATCTTCAGGCTCCATCCTGTAATTTCTGTAGTCCCCTGTTGGTATTTTTTCAAGTTACAATTCAGGCAATGTAGACTAACAGAGTAAGAAGTGAAAGCCACCTCCTCCCTGAAAACACGATCAACAGTTTGTTGAATGATTGTCCAGAACTTCTATGTACATATAAACCTCTCTTTTATGTTTTTATTTTTTAACAAAAAAATGAGATCATATGATCACACTCTATGTATGTTTTTTCTGTAATTTGGTTTTCTTTCACTCAGTAATTCAGATAGCTGCCCATAGTATGGATAGTTGATATTTTAGGCATTTCCTATTTCAAGGACATTTAAGTGACAGATACTGGGATGAACATCTTTGCACATATTGTATCCTTAGGCACTTTTGCAAATTTTTCTAGAGGATACTTGGAAGTTGAAATTGCTGAGATATTCACATTTCAGAATTGTATATGTATTTCCTGATTGTCTTTCCAAAAGGCTACTTCCTGTATTTTAAAAATACCCACCAGAACGTAAGCTTCTTGAGGGAAACAGTGCCTGAAATAGTGGCATACACAGAGTAACTGTTAATCTGTGTTGAATGTAAGCAGTGATGAATTGCAAAGATGAATTGCAGGCAGAAAGGCTGTTAGAAAGCTATTTTCTAGCACATTCCACATATACTTACAGAGTATTTACATTGTGCAAGGCACTGGATATCAAGACTATAAAGAGTTGACTCAGTTCTCACTGGCCAGGTGCCGTGGCTCACACCTGTAATCCAGCACTTTGGGAGGCCTAGGCAGGTGGATTGCTTGAGTCCAGGAGTTCAAGACAAGCCTGGGCAACATGGCGAAACTCCACGTCTACAAAAAGTAGAAAAAGTTAGCTGAGCTTGGTGGTGCATGCTTGTAGTCCCAGCTACTCAGGAGGCTGAGATGAGAGGATGGCTTGAGCCTGGGAGGCAGAGGTTATGATAAGCTGAGATTGTGCTACTGCATTGTAACCTGGGTGACAGAGGAGACCCTTTCTCAAAAAAAAAAGTCACACACTTGGACCTTAAAGTCTAGGCATGTGCTGGAGTAGAGGGGAAGACACCTGCCCTTTCTCTTGCCTCTTCTTTACCCTTTAGCAGTACTGGGGAGAAAAAAGCACTCATCCTGTTGGGTAGGTACAAATATTCAAAGTTATCAGATTTTGCCTTCGTTATACTCCCTCCCAACAAACATAAACTGTACCTTTTATTCTATTAAAATTTTTTGAAAAGATAATATATCAGCTTTGTGCAGTGGCAGTATTGTAGCCAATGAGGTTTATCCGAGGCGCCATCATTGCTAATTGAAAACTTTTCCCAATACCCCACCATGACGACCTGAAATATAGTCAGCATTGGCAATTTTTGACAGTCTCTATGGAGACTGAATTTAAAATATATATATGTATGTATATATATTTACATGGATCAAAAATACAAAAGTTTTTAAAAGGTATTTATTAAACATCTTCTGTTTCCCGTCTACCCAGTCCCTACTCCCATCCGAAAACTTCTAAATAAATATGAACTCCTGAGCCAGGCGCGGTGGCTCAAGCCTGTAATCCCAGCACTTTGGGAGGCTGAGGCGGGTGGATCACGAGGTCAAAAGATCGAGACCATCCTGGTCAACATGGTGAAACCCCGTCTCTACTAAAAATACAAAAAAAAATTAGCTGGGCATGGTGGCACGCGCCTGCAATCCCAGCTACTCAGGAGGCTGAGGCAGGAGAATTGCCTGAACCCAGGAGGCAGAGGTTGCGGTGAGCCGAGATCGCGCCATTGCACTCCAGCCTGGGTAACAAGAGCGAAACTCCGTCTCAAAAAAAAAAAAAAAAAAAAAAAATGAACTGATGTTTTAATGTCCCTTTTAAAAAAAAAATTAAAAATTAAGTATAAGAATTTTTTTCCTAATTTAGGGGTTGGTTATATTGGTTTCAGATCATCAGTGATATATATGTATGTGGCATTAGAATTTTGAGTTGTCCATGCATGTTATTTTGCAGAAAAACTACCCAGAACACCTGCATGTTTTACTCAAAGAAGATAATCAGTGTTTATGTTACTTGCATTGTGGTGTTTTCCTTTGCTGAGCATGAAATCCAGTGGTTATCACAATTTCATGACTTACAAGCTTGAAAATCAAGAGTCTTGGAGCAGTCCCATAATATTCCTGTCTGCCCTGACCTTGTTCTTTACTGGAGCGATGTTGTTCTCTCTCTCTGCAGCATGGGAATCATTGTGCTGGAGTTGTACTGGAAGCATGCTCCAAAGACCTGTAAGAACTTTGCTGAGTTGGCTCGTCGAGGTTACTACAATGGCACAAAATTCCACAGAATTATCAAGGACTTCATGATTCAAGGGGGTGACCCAACAGGGACAGGTACAGTTAAGCCAACATTAGTTTATGTTTTCTCTTTCTTTTTTTTTTCTTTTGTCTTTTTTTCTAAAGCCAACCTTAGTTTCTGAAGACTCTGTCATAAATAGGTGATAAGGCAGCCAGAGCTCTCTTCCATTTGCTAAGGACTGTGTTGGTTGATTCTGGTGACAGCTCCTGCCTCCATCAAACACACATATGTGAAATTGGCCAGAAACCAACCTTAACTCCTAGGCTTGGTAGAGTTTTTCATAACTACATATATTGCTCACTAAAAACAAATAATATTTGTCTGAATTATAGTGATGCAAGTAGTCCAATCAATAAGAAGGAAAGACTTCATAGTATCTTAAGAATAATAAAATCCTGGCATCTTTTATTGATTCACTTATTTAACAAATATTGAGTATCTGCTTTGTGTCAGATACTTTTCTAAGCTCTGGGAAGATAGCTATAAAGAAAGAGACAGAATTCTTGCTCTCAATAAAGCAGCAAAAGGGATGTGGGGATGCAATTTTAGTAGAAAAGTCAGGGAACTCCTCTCACATTATTGGAGAAGATATCTGAATGAAGGAAGAAAGTGAACCTTGTAACTGGGGGAAGAACATTCTGGATGGAGGGAAGAGCAAACAAGAGACCCTGAGGCAGGAGCCTGTGCTGGAAATCATAAGGTATGTGGTACCTTGTAGGGCAAGGTAGAGACTGGGTTTTATTCTGAGTAAGATGTGAGTCATTGGAGAGTTTCAAGCAAAGAAATGATGTGATCTGATCTATGCTTTAAAAGGATCCCTCTTTCGCCAGGCATGGTGGCTCACACCTGTAATCCCAGCACTTTGGGAGGCTGAGACAGTTGGATCATTTGAGGTCAGGAGTTCAAGACCAGCCTGACCAATACGGTGAAACATTGTCTCTACTAAAATACAAAAATTAGCCAGGTATGGTGGTTGGCACCTGTAATCTCAGGTACTTTAGAGACTGAGGCAGGAGAATTGCTTGAACCCAGGAGACGGAGGTTGCAGTGAGCCAAGATTGTGCCACTGCATTCCAGCCTAGGCAAGAGATCAAGACACTCTCTAAAATAAATAAATAAATAAATAAATAAATAAAAGGATCACTGTAACTGCTGTTTAGAGAATAGATGGAGGGACAAGATATAAACACTGTGTAAATAGTTGTTACACTTTATTGTTTGGGGAATAATGACAAGAAAAATAGTTCTGTACACATTCAGTACAGATGCTTTCTCCCCAGGTATTTTCAATTGCGGTTAGCTGAATCCATGAATCTAGAACCCACATGTAGGGAGAGCTGACTGTGCTCATGAGTAAGTAGTTGGGGTTCAGGGAAAGACCTGGTAT